CCCTCTCCGTATCTCCAAGACTGGCTATGGCAAAATGCAAACATCGAGACCTCTGAGATCTTGCACTTTTAGCTCATGGCAGTGAATGCCTGACATCTGACGCAAGATGACATCCCGCTCGCAAACACTGACAGTCCCAGGTGAGTTTTGCGAAATGTCTAAGATAGAGGTGTCGAACTCATTTGTTATGAGGGCCGGATCTAACATAAATGTGACTTTGTCGGGCTGGGCCATGTGTGCCATAAAATGTAATGCCGGGCACCAGAGATACAAACTTTTTAAATGACAGCAACTGGTAAGCTCTGAGTTGGCGTGCCTTCACTGCAAGGCCCCGTGGGTGCTGCCTGGAGGGGGAGCAAACCCCTTCCCCAGCCCACTCCCACTGTTGTGAGTCTGAGCCCAAGGGAAAACATGCTAAGTAGCTGGGTATTGTGAGCTCCCCCCTGCCCCTGAGCCACCATGGATGGGGACTGGGAAGACATTGACCTAACCCCCCACCTGCAGAAGTAGGGGAGCGGTAGCCAAAGTCCGAGGTCCTGTGCATGGAAGGATCCAGGCCAAGTAAAGCCGGATAAGCCAGAGATGCCTGTGTGGCAGCGGCTGCCTCCGGCCAATGCTGCCAGGTGATCCATGGTGGGGCAATGCTGCGGGTTCAAGCAACCTGTGCCACACCCATGCAGCGGCTCCCAGCTTAAACAGTCAGAATGCCACTGAAGCAAAAGGGTTCTTGACTGCTGCAGACAAGGTTGTCCTGTGTGCTGAAGTCACAACCAAAGTGGCTCTGTCCACTACACCCCCCCCCCGAGCAGCCTCCTGTTCCCTCCCTCGCACCAGTTGCTTGCGGCCAAGGTAAGAGCCCTGGAAGGGCCAGTTCCAGCCCCCAGGCCTTATGTTTGACACCCCCCTGGTCTGAGAACTTCAAAGATACGCCAGAGAATGCCGTGACATCCACAACAAAGCCCTTCATGGCCTCGCCTCCTCTTATTGGCGAGACTGGCTCTCTCCCTATGCTCCGCCATGACAACTTCGCTCACGTCAGCAGCAGTGGATTCTGCAGGTGCTAACCTGCAAACGGGCAGAATCAACAACAGCCTGTACACGTGTGATTTCTCGAGGCAGATGACGCATACTGAGTCAGTACAGTCAAGAAAATGGGAAGTTCACTAACCGGCTGATTAGGATTTTAGAAGTCTGGAACCACCATGAAGAACTGAAGCATGCGGACTTTAAACAAACTACTTATTTGTTTGTTTGTTTAATTTGTAACCCACCCTCCCTGAGAAGCCAGGCTCAGGGCGGCTTACAGAATATATATGTGTTAAAACAGATAAAACACAAGATTTAAATAAAAACCACATCGTATAAGATCGTAAGCACTATTAAGCGTAAGTGCTAATAAACTATGGCGGCGTTCTCTCGGCATCCAGACAGTCAACTGCCACCACAGTCTGGGTTCTTGCCAGGCTGTTGGTTATTAAGTTTGTACTGATATTGGGGGGGCCGGGGCCACAGTATGGGGAGGCGGCACCCTAATCGAAAGCCTGGTGGAAGAGCTCCGTTGTACAGGCCCTGCGGAGCTACATAAAATCATCTGTCTGAGATTGTCAACGTGTACCAAGCCCTTCACACACTTGCTGCAAAGATACCTGGCTTTTAAATCTTCTGCATGTAGCCGTGTTTCACTGTTTGTACCTTTCGCCCGGGTTTCTGAGTTTCTAACCACAAAAGCAACAAACTTCAAGCAAACAAATGGACTTGTTAGAAAAGGAAGAACTGGGATGCTCAGAAACATTAGCAACGACCCATGGGGGTCACTCACAGCCCGTGTGTCATACATTACGAACCGCAGACATCCTATGGGAACATACCTTCAAATAAAACACAGACCCTTCTTTGTCCTACTTTGTCCTACACAAGACAAGACCCCCGCCCCAAGCCACAAACATAGCATGAATGCTCAGAATTGCCTCTCAGTAGACACAGTGGTGACTCTGTGGCAAGCCTTACACACCACGAACACACTTTCCAAGACTCACCAGATCCTTAAATGGCTGTTTCTCGGGGATTTCCCAGTCATCGCTGATGTTCATGTACCTACAAGAGTGGATAATTCAGTTACACAGACTGGTATTTGAATAGCCACGGGGATGGGGTCCTGGCAGAAAGCGATGACGAGCCTACTCACTTGTCGAAGTCAGTGAAGAGGTTGACCCTGAAGGTGTGCTGTTTGTCCAGCTTGTAGCCGTCAGCATTTTTCACAGCATCCAGAGCGTGAGTGGGAGACATATATTCCAGGAAAATATACCTGCCACAAACAGAGGCCATCAAGCACTGAACACCGTTCAAGATTGTGTTACCCGGACAAGGTGATGGATGAAACAAAGGGCCAAGCGCTAATGCTGTGAACTGAAAATGCGGTGGCTGGAGTTTGCCCCCACCCGAACTCCACTGCAATCTCTCCTTGTTCCCATCATCTTCAGCACCCCCCCCCCCAAAGCTAGAAAGAAAATGCAAATCTTAAGAACGGAGAGACACTTGGGGGGTGGACCACAGAGCGGCTCAGGACACAGGGCTGTAAAGAGGCACCAAGAGATTATGGCAGGCACCACTGGAAATACATCTCTGGTGGTGGAAAGTGCCATGAATTCAAAGTTGTCTTAAGGTAACCCTCAGTTTTTCAAGGCAAGAGATTAAAAGATGCAGTTTGCCATTGCCTGCCTCTTTACAGCAACTCCAGGCTTCCTTGGTGGTCTCCTCTCCACGTACGGAACCGGGCCGACCCTGCTTAGCTTCTGAGATCTGGAGAGATCGGGTTAGCCTGGGCTATCCAGGTCAGGCTGGAATACATCTCTACACATAGGAAAAGCAGGCAGTCGTTCAACCAGCGTGGCACCCAAGAACAAGACAGCTCTTCAGAAACAAAACTGAATTTCCAACCATTTGCCACACAAAGAACGTATCTCGCCTTCTGTGCAAGCCAGGGGCACTCTTAAGAAGAGGAATGGAGGGACGGCATGGGAGAAATCAGCTTTGAAATGCCAGAGTGAAGAACAGAACCTGACAGGCCTTTTAACATACAACACGTGGGAAGATGGGAAAATCAGGCAAACTCTGCAGCTGTCTGCCTAATAACAGGAGCCAAGTTGAGCTTATTCTTCTGGCTCTTGCCAGGAGGGAGGGGGTCTAGTTTCAAACCAGCTCTTAAGTCTTCTGGTTTAGACACCTACAACCTCCATTGGGGGGGGGGATCTCAGTTTAGAAGCAGAATCTACCCTTATACAGAATGTCCCTTTCCTAGGCTTATGATCTAATTAAACTGTTTTTTCCCACTCGACTCCCACAGTCTTTTGTAGCGGATGCCAAGAATGCAAGACCAGCAGGCTTCGTAATGGTCAGTCGGTCTACAGATTTTATGTCGGCAACTTAATTCTTCCAGTGACCGAAATTTTACAGTGTCGGAACATTTCCCAGCAAAAGCCCCAAATTTCGTTTTTCACCCTCATGTACCCACCCTTTCGTCTGCCCATCAGATTCTGGGTAAAATTCATTGGTGATTTTCCCAAACTTGGAGAAAATCTTATGGATAACGTTCTTCAGTTTCTCGAGACGGTCCGGCCCGACCTGGGGGACATTATCCACGACGATCACGGAATCGATCCCATCTGCCTCCTGTGGACGCTCTTGCAGGATGTCTTCAAGTAACTCTGTGAAAAACAGAGACAAAAGAAATTGGCACACAGAGTTTTGGGAAGGGCAGCCATTCATGAAACGACAGCTGAGGGGTGATATAATCGAGGTTTACAAGATTATGCATGGGATAGAGCAAGTAGAGAAAGAAGTACTGTTCTCCCTTTCTCACAATACAAGAACTCGTGGGCACTCAATGAAATTGCTGAGCAGTCAGGTTAGAACGGATAAAAGGAAGTACTTCTTCACCCAAAGAGTGATTAATACATGGAATTCACTGACACAGGAGGAGGTGGCGGCTACAAGCATGGACGGCTGCAAGAGAAAAATTAGATAAACATATAGAGCAGAGGTCCCTCAGTGGCTATAAGCCACAAGGGATAGATAGGAACTCTCAGTCTGGGGCAAGTGATGCTCTGTATTCTTGGTGCTTGGGAGGGGAGGCAAGAGTGGGAGGGCTTCTAGTGTCCCGGCCCCACTGCTGGACCTCCTGGTGGCACCTGGTATTTTTGGCCACTGTGTGACAGTGTTGGACTGGATTGGCCATTGGTCTGATCCAACATTGGCTTCTCTTATCTTCTTATAACTATATTTCAACACAGAAATCAACCACCTGTATTAGACATCTTCTGATAATAAGCAGATGGACATGGAACTCAGCTTGCTACATCATCAGGATATACTGCATAAATACGGTGCAGACTGAATTTCTTACAGGACTTTCCCAAACGTCATACCCTAGTTTGCTGTGCATCCAGCTTGACTCCCTTGCTTCATTGAAAGTGGCTTCTGTGCGGGCACACATCCCTCCCTCCTTCCCCACTGTGGGAGTCTTCCGCGACAATAAGCGGCAGAGGAGAACTGAGGGGAGAGGGCTGGCTCCGCCCAGGTCAGGTGGTGTTTTGGGCGGGAAACCGCCTCCTCGTTGGAGCCTAGCCCTCTCGGGTTGAAAATTCTAAAAAGAAGCTCGCTAGCTCCTCCCGGTGGTCGGCCTGCCTACTGCAGTCCCATGTGTGCCCGCACAGAAGCCACTTTCAATGAACAACGGTTACAGGTAAGCAACCACCGTTTTTGCTGTGCATCCAGCTTGACTCCCTTGCTGATTTCTGTAGACGATGTACAGAATTCTGCTAGTGAATGAGTCCTGGGCCAAGTACCCTTCCCTGGTAATAGGTACCCTTGTGTGCCCGGCCATACACACATCCCTAGAGCACCCCGCCCTTCCCCAGCTGTTTCAAGGCATGACTGCATCAAGAGCCACTGCAGCAGAGTCAGTAGTTGCATTAGAACCTGAAAGATTAGGGCACACATTCTAATTCCGCTACAAGGATAACTTGTGGCCGATCATGCTCTCTGTCCAGCTAAACTCACAGGGGCTGTGGAGACAGAAAGGAGTGGAGAACTCTGCATGCTGCCCTAAGTTATGCTGGGATAGAAAATGGACAGACAGAACTGACACCCACCATGATGCTGAACTATTCTCCCCTCACGGCACTGGTATGGCAGTCATGCCATGGGATTTAATGATGACTCCGTAATGCTTTGCTATCCTCACGGATACCCACCACAGCCTTTTAAAAAAATCACACAGCACGCCCTCTGGGTTGAAGGCTTTGTACGCTGTAGCATTGTTATAATTAGTAGACATATAGTCATACCCAAGTACTCCAATTACAGCAGTATAACAAGTTTTCCCTGCCTTCAAAGACACATTTAGTTTAATCACACAGCGAACACAGACATCTGCATGTCTTCACCCACTAGATCTGTTAACTTCACTTGTCCTTGCAATAATAACATCCCTCTTTTGGATGACGATAGTTAAAGACACTGCTTAGAATCTCTGGATTGTTACAAGCACAAAATATTCCAAGACGTCATTTTGTACAAACATGCCTTGAAAGCTACATTTCACCAAGAAAATGTTTAATATCCAAGTACTCAGTTAATACTTAATCAGGCACTACAATATACCGCCACAACAGATTATGGCAGGGCTTGTCAAACACATTCCAGTTGGGGACAAACACACCAGACAGTCAAAAGCAGACATTATGTCTTCTAGCTGTATTTTGATTTACAAGCTTAATTTCAGAGACTTTAAAGTTGCTTCTAACCCCAGACAAAGTTTGGACGTGTCCCTTCTGAGCTAAAGGATCCATGTGTTCCCCTGCAGTTCATGCTGTTCTGTGCGCCAGAAGAAAACACTGGATAGGAGATCCTTAACTCCAAAATGTAGATAAATCTTTGATTTCAAGATGTAACGTCACAGGAGCATGACCAAGAGACTTATTCACACACTGTCAAAGGCCAATAAATATTAATGCAGTTAACTAGCCAGAGTCTGTATACGCTCACCCACCAAACCCCTTCTCACCACACATGTCCTCCTGTCTGTGTGCACTTAAGAGGCAGGAAGTTTTATCACTTATACTGGGGTATGGCGCAAATCTTGCATTTTTTTTTAAAGCTTCTCGAAACCCAAAGGGATGAATGACACCTTGGGGTAGGAATAATGCGTGTTAGCAGCATGTTCTTGCCTCAGGACTGGGAACACTTGTCTTTGGTGACTAGATTTACAGCCAGCTGGATATCACTGCAATCCAGCAAAATCACTATATAGTACCATATGTCAGATCAAGCAGAGCCTGAAAATGGCCCAAATTTCTTCATACTAAAAGCTTAATATATACCATCTCAACTTGTTTCCATTAAAAATTGAGACCCTGGGTGAGCTGTAAGATATCCTTGCTTTCCTGTAACGAAGACTACCTGAGCCATTTTGTTACACAAAAGCTGGATCCTTTGACTGCCACAATGGGAAGCTGTGCAACCTTATCATAAGCTAAAGCTGTTTAATTGCCAATAACTAATAAACATCATTCAAGATTGTCTTCTCAAGGAAGTCACTCAAAACTCTCACCCACAGAGATGGCAAAAATGCTTGGTCAAAGAAAAAGCACTTTAAGTTGATATAGCCGTGGGGTAAAACATGCTGTGCGTATTTCCCCCCAGACAGAACATTCTGCGGGATGCTAAACATATAGCACAAGCTTTGGAATTGTGAGAAGAAATGTTATAAGATCCTACTTCAGTAAGGCTAATCAATACTGGGGTTGGAACATTAGATAACTGAGGAGGCCTTAAGAACATCAGCCCTGCTGGATCAGACCAGTGGTCCATCTAGTCCAGCATCCTGTCTCGCACACGGTGGCCAACCAGTTCCTCTGGAGAACCAACAACAGGGCAGAGAGGCCGAGGCCTTCCCTTGAAAAGAACATCAGAAGAGCCCTGCTGGATCAGACCAGTGAGGGCCCATCTAGTCCAGCATCCTGTCTCCCACACAGTGGCCTACCAGTTCCTCTGGAGAACCAACAACAGGGCATAGAGGCCGAGGCATTCCCCTGGTAAGAACATCAGAAGAGCCCTGCTGGATCAGACCAGTGAGGGTCCATCTAGTCCAGCATCCTGTCTCGCACACAGTGGCCAACCAGTTCCTCTGGACGGCCAACAACGAAGCTTAGAGGCTGAGGCCTTCCCTTGATGTTGCCTCTGGACTCTGCGATTCAGAGATTTACCGCCTCTGAACACGGAGGTTCAAATAACCTCCCAGAACCTTTGGAATGATCTTGGGATGGTCAGTCTCGCAGCCAATTTTTGGCGTACATAAGAAAAGCCATGTTGGATCAGGCCAGTGGCCCATCCAGTCCAACACTCCGTGTCACACAATGTTCAAAACCCAGGTGCCATCTTCTAACCATGTAGGGATGGAATGCACACCCATCAAACCCAGGACTCCCAACCCAGCGACTGCGCATAGGTGGGGGATTCGGCCAGCATGCTTATGCTCCCCATCCGCATGGACTCAGCGTGTGTTTAGGTAGTGCAGAGAGGGTGGCTGAGCAGGACCCTTGGCCTGTCAAAGACAGCAGTGTCTACTTAGACTGACAGAGGCTCTCCAGGGTCCCAAGCAGAAAGCTTCCACGTCTCCTATTGCCTGACCGTTCAAACTGCAGATCTGGGATCTTCTATGTCCCAAGCAAATGCTTAACCAGTGAACCACAGCCACTCCTCTAATGCAACCCCACACCTTTGCATTGGGCAACCCTGTGTGATGTGCTGCAGCAGATAACATGTCACACTAAGATCAGGAGTCACATCCCCCTCTCCCCCATGAAACTTCCTTGCATGACTTTGGGGGATCAGCCGCTCTTTTGCGCTGTCTCTCTCTCTGCCTGGCCTGGCTCACCGGGGATCAGATCTTTCTGACTTTGGGTCAGCCACGCTCTCAGGCTGGCCTACATCACAGGGGTTTCACAAGAATAAAAGGCAGAAGACTCATGCATCTTACTGAGTGACTCTGGGTCAGCTACTCTCTCAGCCTGGCCCACCTCACAGGGTTATTGTTAAACTATGCTAGAGGAGAGACACATGAACCTTACTGAGAGTTTGGGTCTGCTGCTTTCTCAGCATGGTCAACCTCAAAGGGTTGTTAAAATATACTAGAGGAGAGACCTCTGAACCTTACTCAGAGTTTCAGCCTTGCCTAACTGACCAAGCTGTCTTAAAAAAGGAGAGAAGAGACTCATGAACCTTACTGGCTTTGGGTCAGCCATGCTCTCAGCCTGGCCTGCTTCACAAGACTGTCATGAGGGGGAAAAAAGAATTGAGATCCATGAACCTTACTGGCTTTGGGACCACCAATCCCTCATTCCAACCTAACTCAAAGGGGTGTCACAAGAACAAAAGAGAGGAGTCCCAAGAGCCTTACTAAGAGCCACTCATCTTTACTGAGGGATTTCAGGTCAGCTCCTCTCTCTCCTGCTTGCCCTGGTCTTCCTCACAGGGTTGTTGTGAAAGTAAGCTGGAAGAAAGAACCACAAACCTTACGGAGTGACTTCGGGTCAGTTGCTCTTTCAGACCCAGCCTATCTCACAGGACTGTCATGAGAACAAAAGACAGGAGACCTGTGACCCTTACCGAATGACTTCGAGTCAGTCCCTCCCCCCCTCTCCGTCCGGCCTACCTCACAGGGTTCCTTGTGAAAGTAAGCTGGGGGAAAGAACCGCAAACCTTACAGAGTGACTTTGGGTCACTCACTCAGACTGCTGTGAGAACAAAAGAGACCCACAAACCTTACTCCCTCCCAGCTTGGCCTGCCTGATAGCATCATGGTGAAAGTCAGCTGGAGGAAAGAACTACAAACATTAGGGGGTGACTTCCGGTCACTTACTCTTTCAAACCTGCCCTACCTCACAAGCCTGTCACAAAAACAGAAAAGAGACCCATGAACTTTTCTGAATGACTTCGAGCCAGCCCCTCCCAGCCCAGCCTACCTCAGAGGGTCATTGTGAAAGTCAGCTGGAGGAAAGAACCGCAAACCTTACAGAGTGACTTTGGGTAAGTCATCCTTTCAACCCTGGCCTACCTCACAGGACTGTCACGAGAACAAAGGAGAGGAGACCCACGAACCTTACTACCTCCTGGCCTGGTCTACCTGACAGGTCATCATGAAAGTCAGGTGGAGGAAAGAACTACAAACCTTACCGAGTCAGTCACCCTTCCAAACCTCGCAAGACTGTCACGAGCACAAAAGAGAAGACACCCACAAACTTTACTGAACGACTTTGAATCAGCCCCTCTCTCCCTCCCAGCCTGCCTCACAGGACCGTTGTGAAAATAAGCTAGACTGACTTTGGGTCAGCCACCCTTCCAAACCTGGTCTACCTCGCAGGGTCGTCACAGGAACAAAGGATAGGAGAATCCAGCCACTCACCTTTCTGAATGGCTTCGAACCAGCCCCTCTCCCTCCCAGCCTGGCCTACCTTTCAGGGTCCCAGTGAAACCAAAGCTAAACGGAAGACCCACGACCAGCGTTCCCTCTAAGCTGAATTAGTGTGAGCCAGTTCACAGTTTTTAGCCTCCTGTGCACACGTTTTTTCTACTTCACTCAGGAAGGATGGCTTCGGAGTAGTGTTCCCTCCAAACTGAGTTAGTGTTAGCCAGTTCACAGTTTTTTAGCCTCCATCTCACACATTTCTGTCTCAACTCAGGAAGGATGGCTCTAGAGCAGCGTCCCCTCTAAGCTGAGTTAGTGTGAGCTGGCTCACAGTTTTCTAGCCTCCGACTCACACATTTTTGCCTTAGCTCAGGAAGGAGGGCTCCAGAGCAGACTAATGCAGGAGCCAAAATCGCTCGCTCACACAACTTTAATGCCGATAGAATTTTTGCTCACAAGACTCTCCACAGCTTAGAGGGAGCACTGCCCACGACCCTCCCCGGGAGACTCCGGGCAAACCCCAACCCTAACCCTCTCCCACTACCGGCCTACCCCGCGGGGCCGTCGTTGACAACACCCCCCCCCAAGCAACCCCCACCTTCTTCGTCGATGTCGTCCTCGAAGCCTTCGGGGTCGCTGAAGGAGACGCCCTCGTCCTCCTCTTCCTCCTCCTCTTCCTTCCCCTCCCCGGAGGACTTCTCCTTCTCGGACCCCCCCTCGCCCTTCTCCTCCTCCTCCTCCTCTTCTTCTTCTTTGTCCTCCTCCTCCTCCTCTTCTTCTTCCTCCTCCTCCTCCTCTGCTGTCGCCTTCAGCCCGGGGCTGGGCGTCTTCTCGCGGGCCGGCGGCTCCTCCGCGGCCTCCTCGGGAGCAGGAGGCGGCAGCGGCGGCGGGGACGGGGAAGAGGAAGGCGGGGACGGGGCTGCTGCTGCTACCACCACCGCCGCCGCCTCCTCCTCCTCCTCCTGTTGCTGCCACCTCAGCAGCCAGGCAGCCCGTCTACATCAACAATGCTGCAGCTCTGCCAAGCGGGTCAGGTGTTGAGTCGCCCAGTGAGCTCTTCCTCAATCTTCCCTCTTCTGCCGCCAGTGCCCAGCCCCCAGCGCAAGTGCCTTTGCACGAGCCCTATGGCATGGCCTCTGCCTGCCCCCCACCAGATCCACGTTTGGCAGGCGCTTCCCCTACTACCGGGCCATGTGCGCGGGACTGCCGGCGGCCGGTCTCGCGAGAGGTCGCCGGTTTCCCCCAACTCTGGAAGGCGGGGTGGGGGGGATTTTTAATATATATATATAAATTAAAAAGGGAAGGACCTTATTCGACAGTGGTTGGGGTTGTGACGACTTCTGTGTGTTCTGTTGTTTGTTTTTTCCTCGCACGCTGTGGAGGGAGGGGGAAAGGGATCCGAGGTTTCTATGAGGAGACGGCTTCCCCTTCTGTGTTTTGTTTTGGTTGGATCCAAGATGGAGGGTGTGCACGGTTTTGAGTCAGCCCCGCCCTAAGGTTGGGAAGGGGCTGAACCATCTCAGAAGGGGGTGGAATAATTTTCTTTTTTTAAAAAAACTGGTAATGTTGTTTTCTTCATTTCTGTTGGTATCGCTTTTGTCCCGAGTTATGCTTTTAAAAGGTATCTAAGGTTTCTTGACCATCGCCTACGTTGGAACCCATTTCTTTCCCCCCCTCTCATTTGTAGACGGTTTGGTTGAGTCCAAGATGGAGGTCTGAGGGTTGGCTTCAACCCCGCCTAAAGAAGGGACCCAGCTGAACCATCTCAGAAGGGCTTTAAAAACAGAGTGGTCTTTTCCTTGATGTGTTAGTATTTTTAATGTGTCCCTCCATTAGTATATTTTGGTCTATTTAAATAGTAAAAATCGTGGTGATACACAGAGTCGTAGGAGGGGGTGTGATTTTAGTGACTCCCCTCGAATTAGTATAGTGGAATCACCCGGCCGGTTCGACGTGCTAACATCGTGGCCTGTACTAACTTGATCGAATGGGGGTAACCAGGGCGTTTCACATATTGGAACGCCTAACATCACTTGCGTAAAAAGCCCACCTGAACAATTAGCTCACCTAAATAAAACAACGATTACATCGATCCATAGCTTCCATCTTTTTTAAAAACAAAGCTCCCGGTTTTCTGTACTAATAGTACGGGCCGACAAGCCGGGCCACATCATCGCTTTACCGTTCACGTGACGCTTTATAAAGTCCCGGATGGAATAAGGAAAACGGCGCCGCCATGACACTAGAGGCAAAGGGGACCAAGAAGAAAAAAAGTCGCTTGCTTCTATTCCGTTCACTGCCGCAGCAGGACTCTGTTTTACCAGATGAAAGTTTACCTGATACGTAGTCCCTCCACCCTGTTTTGCAGCCAAAAGCTGCAAGCCAAAGAAACTCATAGGAATCAGGTTTGGTTAACAGTTTAAATTCCGTATAAATCATATCCTTTGCAGAGGCCCCCCGGCTGAACTGGGTTCAGATGCGAGGATCGCTTCCTGCTCTCCTTTCTGATGGCTCCATAAGGAGATTGACAGCAGAGATGCTGGTGGGGAAATGCTAAATGTGGTGTATTCAATGCAATGGAAAACTGTGTTTGAAATCACTAATTGAAACACCATGTAAAGCTTGTCCTGGGCAAGGATCCTAATCATTCAATACCTATTAGGGTTGCCAAATCAGTCTTCGCCGGGAGCGGAGGGCTCCCGGCCGGTGTCGGGTGAGTGCGTGCGTGCAAAGCGCGCACGCCGCGTGCACACCACCCAGAAATGACGTAGGCACGCTGGGGGCGGGGCCGCGGCCATACAGGGGGAAACCATAGAGTTTTCCCTTGTATGGCCGTGGCCCCGCCCCCAGCGTGCCCGGCGTGCTCACGTCACTTCCTAGGGACACGTACGCCGGGGGCGGGGTTCCCCCGGGGCCGATTCCGCCGCGGTGGAAATTGGGCCTCCAAAGCGGGGGTTTCCCCGCCCCCTGGCCCGATTTGGCATCCCTAATCCCTATTAGTAGCCCAGGAAGAGCCGACCAATCACCTACCATCCAGTTCCCTGAGCGGGAACTTCTGTGATTGGACTTTATCTTGACAATCCTATTGGTTGTAATGTACAGTAGGGCGTGGCTCTACATTAGCCTGGAGAGTTTAGAAGAAGCGCAGCTACAATGTAAAAGTTGTTCTGGTTATTCTGTTTATGGTTGTATTTTCGCGTATTGAATCGTTAGCTGAAATCACTCTCTGACTCTTTGTTAAGTAGCCGACTTAACACCAAATTTCTGCATGGCAGAGTTCCTTGGCGTTTCCTGTCCAGTGAACCATGATTAAGTACTTATCTGTGCTGCAAACCGGGGTGTTTTTTAAAAAAATTGTTCCTGCCATTTACAGTCCGCCTTTCTCACTTGGGCTCAAGGCAGGTTAAACTGAGCGAGTCAAAACATTCAATAAATGGCACAATATGATTATAAAACTAAAACCAGAAACGAAGCAAAACATAACGCCATGCATTACATGATGCAAAAATTGCAAGGTCCTGGTTTCAGTAAGCTAAGAGCACAGTAACATAGACCACAGTCCCTAATAGTTGATCTAAGTAACTTTGTGAATCATTTAGTACAATGCAACTCTGTTGCCTGCATGGGAAAGCCCTCCTGAACAATTCAGTTTTGCATCGTTTCTGGAAAGCCAGGAGGAGGAGGAGGTTGGGACTGATTCCATAAAAGCAGTTGTTCTGTCCTCAATCTCCTGTTTCCCCTGGTTGTATTGCTCAATTTTGTACTGCATTTTGACCCGCATCTCCCCATGATTTCTCCCACATCTTCTTGATTCTAAAAAATAGTGGGTAATTGAGCAGTTCAACTGGGGGAAACGGGAGACCAAGGGCGGAACAACTGCTTTTGCAGAATCGGTTTGTATTTATACCCTGCCCTTCACTTGAAGTCTCAGAGCAGCTTACAATCCTTTCCCGTCCCCACAACAGACACCCTGTGATACCTCAGTGGGGCTGAGAGAGCTCTTTCGAGAACTGCTCTTTCAAGAACAGCTCCGAAAGAACTTCTGACTGACCCAAAGCCGCACCAGCAGCTGCATGTAGAGGAGTGAGGAATCAAACCTGGTTCTCCCAGATTAGAGTCTGCGCTCCTAACCACTACATCAAACTGCTCCTAACCTGGCAGATTGTTCCATAATGTTGGGGCCACAATGGGCAGTTGTTGATTTTGCCCATCTGCAGGTTGCCACCTGTGGAAGGCCCTCCTAAGATGTGCAAAGCTGTCATGGCGGAGCACAGGGGGAGAGACGGTCTTGCAGATACGAGGGTCTAAGGTCATGAAGGGCTTTCTGTGTGACAGCCAGTACCTTAAACTGAGCCCAATAACTGATGGATAGTCAATGTAAAATGTATTTATTTATTTAAAATGGGAATAATATGCATGCTCCATCTACTTCCTGACAATAGCCAGGCTGTGGTGTTCTGCACCAACTGGAGTTTCCAAATTGATTCAGGTGGGTCGCTGTGTTGGCCTGAAGCAATAGAACAAAGTTTGAGTCCAACAAAGTTTAATTCTGGGTATAAGTTTTAGTGTGCGTGCACACTTCATCAGATACAGATGAAATGATTTTGAGGAGTTCTTGTGTCTGAAAATTTAATATCAGGGAATAGTAATCTGTGTGAAAAAGATGCTAACACTATTTTTTATTTTATTTTATTTAACTTTCAATTTATAGACCGCTCACCCCCTAAGGGCTCTGAGCGGTTTACATTGTACAATTATTAACTACATTACCTTACTAGGGCCACACACACCATGAGGGGAAGGGACTACCTATCAGGCACCCATGGCAGGGTCTTAGTTGTTGTTGTTTCTTACGGAGGTTCTTCAATCCGGGTGACGGCATCTTTGGCGCAGTTCTTCCCTTCGGTCACAGTGATTCCTTCCGGGTATGGACCCACAGCGTACGACGGCACGTGCTACTGCAGCCAACCTCTGTCCCAATTGGCTCCGGCCTGCCGTGTTGCCCCACCGCCGCGCTTTGCCGGTCCAATCTCCGCTCGAGCTGCTCACCTCGCCGCCGTTGCTATCGCTACCATGTTTCGCTGCCGCCGCCACTCCGCTCCTCAGCCGCCGCCATGCCACCATGAAGGGAAGGAAGGGTGCCCCCCCTGCTTTAAGAGCAGGTACCCATTCATCTACTCGCCCGTTCGGGCTTTCGAACCGGTGAGTGGGTGGGAGCTGGGACATGGACCAGGAGCTCACCCCGGCCACGGTGGGACTCGAACAGCCGAAGCTGTTCGGTCAGATGGAATGCAGGCTGTTCAGTAATAACTAATGTATTGATACAAATACAACCATATAAGCACAATCAAGTCCAATCTTAAAGGTGAAGATGTATGAAGAATAATTAGGCAGTAATTATGGAAGGGAGTGTGATGTAAAGCCTTGAGCTTTTTCTGAGATGTGTTGTTAATAATTGCCCATTTATGAGATGTGATTGCTGTAACTCACAAGAGTGTGTATGACCTATTTGAAGATATATTGTTTCAGTTACTGAGGAAGTTCTTTGAAACAGAGTTCTTAATATCCGGACTCTTCGTATATTATTCTTCATACATCTTCACCTTTAAGATTGGACTTGATTGTGCTTATATGGTTGTATTTGTATCAATAGTTTGGTTATCATTGAACTAGTGTCAGCATCTTTTTCACACAGATTACTATTCCCTTGTATACCTACACTGTGTGTTCCTCTTTGGTTGCTGAAAATTTCATATCAGCACCTGCGACAAAGCAGGATGGTTTTTAAATTGCCGTGAGATTCCTATTTAATCCCCCGCCGGGATGATTTATTCCAATAACCGTTGTATGATGCATACATATTTATAGCAGATGTCATTTTTACTTCCACAGACAGAAGGTATTTTGCAATCTTTTCCCCATGCATTTGCTGTTTTAGCCTGTGCACTCATTTATCTGCATTGTTTACTGTGTCACGTTTTATATGTATGCCGTGTTCAGACTACAGCTCCATTTCCAATTTCAGCATTTCCTAATCCTAGTTCTGCTGGGAGTCTCAGTGGAAAAAGGCAGTCTGTAAATTAAAAATGCTGCAAAACATTTTCTCAGTTTTAATGTTGCTTATGCCAGCAAAATTAGAACAGAAGTAACAAAGAGACCAAAAACACATCCAAAATGTTAATTCTCTCTGTGTGCGTCTCAACAGGGCCATTCTAAGAAGGGCCACATGGACTTCAGTTGACTTGGAAGGGTGTAACTGTGCTTAAGATGGCACTGTAACGCACATTGGAGCCTTGGTTTTTATTAATATCACGCCTCTGACAATGTATCACCAAAAGCAGAAAGATGGTTGTATGCTATATGAGTCACTGTCCGAGAATCCCCCACCTATTACAGATCAGTGATGCTTCTGATTCTTCTGGGTGTGTACTGTCTTTGTTTAGTGTGAAATAAGCTGCCCTTTGGGCTGAAGTAAATATCTAAATAAATACAATTTCATTTATTTGTTTATTTTATTTATAATTTCAATTTATATATTGCACTTCTCTGAATTCCCAGAGCTCAGAGAGATTAATAACATAATACTATACAGATTAATATCCAAAGGACATAGGTAAAGGTTTCCCTTGCTCAAAAGCCAGTCGAATCCGACTCTAGGGGTGCGGTGCTCATCTCCATTTCCAAGCTGAAGAGCCAGCGCTGTCCGAAGACATTTCTGTGGTCATGTGGCTGGCATGACTAGACACCAAGGTGCACGGAATGCTGTTACGTTCCCACCAAAGCGGTACCTATTTATCTCTTGCTATTCCTTGCTTTTGAACTGCTCCGTTGGCAGGATCTGGGACCAGAGACGGGAGCTCACTCAGCAGTTCAGCGTCTTAACCACTGAGCCACCACAGCCTATCCAAAGGACATAAGAATTGGTAAAAATATCAGATGGTGTCAAAAAACAAATGTACAGATTGCACCACTGTCTCACAATGAGCCAGAGAAGGTGAAGTGGAGGGGGTGGGGGCAGAAGGGAGTGCCAGGTGCCATGGTGCCCGTTGCTGTCCTCAACCAAAAGCCTGGCAGAACATCTCTGCTTTGCACGCCCTGCGGAACTGCACAAATTCCACCAGGTAGGAGCCAGGACTGAGAAAGCCCGAGCTCTGGTCAAGGACAGCTGGACGTCTTTGAGGCTAGGGACCACCAGTATTTTGTTCTCAGCAGAGCGTAAAGCTCTTCAGAGAATTGAATGTTCTCGGAAGCTAAGCAGGGCTGACCCTGGCCAGTAATTGGAAGGGAGACCTCCAAGGAATACCAGGGTTCAGGATGTGGAGGCAGGCTATGAAGCCACCTCTCTGAAAATGTCCAAACCCCACTAGGGGTCCCCAGAAGTCGCTATGACTTCCAGGCATGCAGACACATAAAGGTAACGATTCCCTTGCTCGAAAGCCAGTCAAATCCGACTCTAGGATTGCGGTGCTCATCTCTGTTTCAAAGCCGAAGAGCCAGCGCTGCCCGAAGACATTTCCGTGGTCATGTGGCTGGCATGACTAAACACCAAGGTGCACGGAACGCTGTTACCTTCCCACTGGAGTGGTACCTATTAATCTACTTGCAATTTCTTGCTTTCAAACTGCTAGGTTGGCAGGAGCTGGAACTACAGATGGGAGCTCACTCCGTCATGTGGCACTCGGGTCTCAAACTGCTGAACTACTGACCTTCCACAGCCTGCAGTTCAGCGTCTTAACCACTTGAGCCACCACAGCTCCTTATGCAAACACATACACACATACAAATACCCCCCTCCCACAGAAAAAGGAAATGATTGAATGTGAAGGTCAGTGGAAAACATCGTCAGCTGATGGGAACAACAGTGAACCATTTTTTTACATGTCTGAAATAAGTATGAACAGACATACGCCTCTTAAAAAACACGAGAGAACAAAAACACCAACCGTGTCCTCATTGGGATCCATTAACACTACCTGTAAGAAGAGAATGCTGAACTTTTCCGTTTGTCGGGAGACCAGCCAGGCCAGATGTTAGCTATCCAAGAACACTGCCCTAAATCTGTTTCAGGAATGTGCCTTGGCAGCTGGAAGCATTCCCTGCCGATATCTATCACCGAGACTATGTGTAAGCACGATAGAGCTGGAAGCAAATTTCGATTTATGGTTCCATTTTATTTCAGCCTTTGCAGAGAACTGGCCCATTCCTCTCTGTGGCGCTCACCTAAGAAGGGTTGTATTTCTTCTACTGCTGTTGCTTTTGCAGATTAAAATCTTATCAGCGTTCCAATAACGCAGATGCTATCTGGACATGCCTTACATTAATCTCTCTTCCCCAGGCTTCCGGTTTTGTCAGCGTCTGAGCTTGGTGCTCCACTCTAGGGTCTGATAACATTTTCACTCGTGTTGCTTTTCGGTTGCCCCTTGCGGACTTTTTGCTGATCTCTGCAGTTAATTTTATCGATATAGTTTAAATTATATTTTTGCTCTCATGGTACCCCATACTGGACCTTTTCTGTTGAAAGGTGGCTTACTGCAATCCATGAATGAAGTTTCGTGTCAGTCCAAAGCATCCACTCACAAGGTTAAAGTCTCCACTCTGACCTTACCTCTTTTTCCAGTTAATTTCCACGGGGGGGGGGGGGGATAATTTTGTGTACCTCCGCATTCAGTGTTGGGATTGTCATTGGAGAGCCAATGGTTAGAACGTCAGGCTAGGATTTGGGAGACACGGGTTTGAACCTCCCCCCTCTGCTATGGAAGACCTTATACCAATCACTTTCTCTCAACCTGACCTAGTTTGAAGGGTCATTGTGAAGGTAAAACAGAGGAGGGGAGAATGAAATAAGATGCTAGGAAACTCTCAGCTGGGAAGCTGTCTTCTCCTCTCTTTTTTTGCTTCAAGCGTCAGGCCGGATGAAGAGTTTTGTAGAACTCAAATGCTTGCACACTGCATTGTGTTATTTTGGTTGGATTTAACTAACGGCATTATATATGCTAAATACTGCAGTTAAAATCCATTTCAGCGACTGTCTGCAAGTGGATTTTACCATTTCACACCGTAAAATCCAGGCGCAAAGTGGATCGAAAGTGGATTGAAAGTGTGTTATTTAATGTGTGTATGAAAGTGCCAATGTGAACCAACATGGCTACCTCCGTCCTCTGTCTAAGATTGTGTACTTATCAAGGTAACTTGAGGGCAGCAGGACACAACATTGTGTAGGTGGTTCTCACAACTCAGCAACCATCTGGTGACGCAAACAAGAGCACCATGGGAATTTGGCAAGATTTTAATTCTTCAGATTAGGATTATAGAAGTACTGAGTCAGGAGGTGAATGGGAACTGAAGTCAATGAATTTAGGGAATTGCAGTTTAAAAAGTAAAAGAATCTAGTTAGTAGAACAAACTAGGGTAGCAGAACACACTAGTAGAATACCCTAGGCTAGCCCAGTCTTGCCAGATCTCAGAAGCTAAGCAGGGTCAGCCCTGGCTAGTATTTGGATGGGAGACCTCCAAGGAATACCAGGGGCGTGACACAGTGGCAGGCATTGGCAAACTGCCTCTGAAACATCTCTTTACCTTAAAAACAAGTCTAGCTCACCACCTAGCGGTGCATAATGCTGAAAGAGCTAGAACTTGCAGCTGTCAGACAATCATAGGATCTCCTGGCTATACTGCATAGAGATGTGAAGGCCCGGAAAAAACCCAGAAAAACGTGGAAAAAATCCGTTTTTTCCCCGTTTTTTCCCTGAAGCCTTTTTGTTTTTTTCCGAAAAATTGGAAAAATTGAAAAAAGAAAAGAAAAAAAATTGATTATGGAACGTTTTATTTTAACATGATGAATAAAATATTTTAAGACCAGGTGTTCAAATATTTTCCAAATCATTTCTAATATATATATATATATATGGTATCCGATTGATGTAATTTCTGTGCACTGAGTACAAGCAAGTCCTAGGTTACAAACTGAACTCTCCAATGCAACAACAAGATGCATTTCTTCCTTTGGGAGGTGCTATTGTCACAAGAAAAGAAAAAGGTTTCAGTTTTGTTTTTGCATGTGCGTGGGTATTCTGTTTGTAATAATTCTTTGGATACACTATATTTTTAATATGCTAGTTGTGATAATTTCATTCCAAGGAGAAATGTCCATAGTCATATTTTATGTTCCCAAAGTAACAGAATGACCTTCAATCTGAAAAAGAAAAAATAAGTGCTAATGTAGCATTTTTTTTTCAATTTTTCCGAAAACTTCCGTTTTCCCCCCAAAAAACCCGGGAAAAAACCGGGTTTTTTTCCGAGCTTCGAAATTTCCGGAAATTTTACATCTCTAATATTGCACACACTGCCATATGATAATAATTATTAATTATACTAGGGTATGGGTCTCCCCAGGGACCAGTTCTCACAAATGGCAAATGAGGTGATGAACTTGGGTCTGCCACTTCAGATCACAGATGTGGAGATGGGGAGGCTCTTAGTATTCCCTCTATATCCAACTCCCTGCATGCAGAAAGCTAGCATGACAGGGGGACAAAATTAGGCTAAAATGGGTTCTCCTTGGCAGGGAGTTTCCTACATGTAAGGAATTCTTGTGGGCAAAGGAGATTTTAGCCAGGTCCACCTGTGTTCAAGAAACCACTCTGCATGTGTTCTGGGGCACTGTCCTTGTTCCTTGGCCTTGCGTAACTGACACTCAGGACCTATCCCGAGTTCTTTATTCATTATTCTTACTTCATTTTTATACCCCACCTTTCTCCCCAAGGGGGACCCAAAGTAGCTCACAGTGATCTTCCATTTTATCCTCACAGCAACCCTGCGAGGTAGGTTAGGCCGAGACAGTGTGACTGCAGAGGTCACTGGACGACCATCCATAGCACAGGTGGAGGAATTTGAACCTGGGTCTCCCAGATTCAGCTAGAGTGTTCTCTGTTCGCTGTCAATAAACCCGCTCACGCGGACTTCCGGTTTTGGCGGAGCGAATGGCGGACGAACTCTTGGGGGGCTCCCAGAGTCGTCTTGCCCACGCGCGGCCAGGGGGGGATCCGCACAAGCAGAGACCCTAAGGAGCCTTAGTTAAAGGCTCCGAAGCCGGGGCACATCGGGGTAGAGCCTCTTTACCGGCCATAACTGGCTGGAAATTGAGGCTCTCCCCAAGCCCCTATGGACCCTGCCGCAGCAGTGCCCTGAAAGGGGACTAGCAACGCCGCCAGGACTTCGCAGATCGAGCGATAAGATAGACAAACATCGGCAGCAACTGTGAGTTGGCGATCGAAACGAAAGTAGCGTTTTAAGCGCACACACCCCCCTGCTAATCGGAAGGGAAGCGGGTGGAAAGCCCTGTTAACAGAAAGAGACTGTTTTAACAAGAAAAAGAGGGGGGGGAGGTGAAAGTGTGAAAAGCAAGTTACCTTTTGGGAGATTGTTGATAGAGAAGGAAAAAAGAGCCCACTTAAAGGTGTGCGGAACGAAATTTTAAAAAGTAAACATTTGAACAAAGATGTCGGGGCAGAAAAAGTTGCCGGAGAAATTGGTGAAGAAGGCAGGAGGGACTTCCGGCACTAACCCCCGCCCTCTGGAGTCAGCTGTCAATCAGCAAGACAGTGAGCTTCTGCGCCCTCTGCTGGAGCAAATGCAAAAAATAAGTCAAACGTTGTCAGGTATGGAAAGCGACCTTGGCAACCAGCAGAAACAATTGACAAGCATGGAAAGCGTGCTCAGCAACCAGCAGAAGCAAATGACTGAAACAGCAAAGAATATGGAGGAAATTGCAAAGAAATGTCTGGTATCAACGGAAGATATGCAAAAAATTAAGAAAAAGGTCAATAAAATGGAAAAACATCAAGAACAACAAGATAAAGTATTATTGATGTTACAAATGGAAAAATCAAATTTAACTCTCCGATTTCAAGGCATCAAGGAAACGGAAAAGGAAGACCTCAGAAGTATCTTGGCAGATGCTTTGGCACCACTGACTGGCATTGAAGCGAATAAATTAAGTGAAGAGATGGATATGGCCTACAGAGCCTATTCCAACTTTACAAAGAAAAACAATTTGCCGGCGGAAGTGGTAGTCAAGTTCACTAAACAGCGGACAAGAGACCAGATTCTGAGAGCGACATCAACATCGCCGTTGGAAATTGGAGAGCAGAAAATAAGGATTTTAAAAGATGTTCCATTTGAAATCAGAATGAAGCGGAAAGCGTACAAAGGACTGACCTTATTCTTACAAAACCATCAAATTAATTACAGGTGGTTGATTCCAGAAGGACTAACTTTCAAATTTCAAGATAAAAGAGAAAGGATTGACTCCATGTTCAGAGCACAGGACTTTTTGAAAAGACACACTAGCACGGAAGAAGAAGCAGAACTCGCTAAATGGGAAGAACTGAGTAGCAGTGATGACAGCGACTTGGGAGACGGGGACAAAGGCTCGGAAGACAAAGGAACAGGAAAGAGGCGGTCATATAATCTGAGAGATGTGAAAGGAAGACACCCCCAAAAATGAAGATTTGTTCGTGAAGCACATTAAGAGACTTATCAACACTAACCCAAAAGGACAATACTAACATAATTAACAATTTTATTTTTGACAGGTGAAGACGAAGGATGATCGGTCAACCACGGAAGAAGCCAAAATACTGTAATTTACTACTAACTGATTAACTTACCAAAAAATAACATCACTCACTCTTTTTATTTTTCCCGCTGTATACCCTCCCTTTTTCTTAAAACTAAAAGCAATAAAATTCTCTCCTTTTTAGGAGAGTTCAATTAAAAAATAATAATAAACCCGCTCACGCTTTGCACATGATGCGTTCTTCCACACCCAATCCTAGGCATGTTTACCAGGAAGAAAGGCCACGCCAACCATGAAGCCAAATGAGCAGATGGGACTCCCTCCGACTTCAACGCTGTGAGGACAAGGACAGCCAGAGCAGTGTGGTGGTTAGAGGATTGGACTAGGACCTGGGAAAATCAGGTTCGAATCTCCACTTGGCTGTGAAGTTCACTGGGGGACCTTGGGCCAGTCCCACACGGGCTCGTAGCCAGGATTTTCTGGCTGGTGGGGCAAATTTTTTTCCTGGTGGGGCTGTCATTATTTGCCATAATGAAGGGGGTGTGGCACACACCCCTCTCCCTTCAGCTGATCAGCCCCTGCCTAAGACCCTGGAGAGCTGCTGCTGGTCTGTGTAGACCAGGGGTGTCAAACATGCGGCACGGGGGCCAGATTAGGCCCCTGGAGGGCTTCTATCAGGCCCACAGTGGAACTGGCTGTCTTCTGCTTCTTCTTCCAGTTCTGCTGCCGCCACGTCATCATAGGTTTGCAGCTTACAGATAAAACACCTGAACAGCACACTCAGGATTGAAACAGCAGAGATATTTTGGTGCAATAATTCAGAGCAAGAGGTGTCAGTTATCAGACACTGTTAAATAAACAAAATATTGCAAGATTGCTAATGTTTTAAGCATGGTTTTATTTTAAGTAAAAAAAAAACCCCTTTGTGTCTGTGTCCTTTATGAAGTTTATATCTCCGCTACCTGGCATTACATTTTATGACACACATGGCCTGGCCCAACAAGGTCTCATTTATGCCAAATCCGGCCCTAATTACAAATGACTCCGTCACCCCTACTTTAAAGGATCGCTTTAGATGCTTTTGGGAAGAAGGGGGGGGGGGCTTTAAGGAAAGAGGCTGGCCCTTTAAGAAAGCGGGCAGAACCCCCAATAGCCCCACTGTGGGTAGGGGCCAGGCCCCACACTCTCAGCCTAAGCTACCTCACAGGGTTGTTGTGTGGATAAAATGGCGGAGAGAGACCACCTTTGGTCCCCATTTGTGAGAAAGGTGGGGTATTATAGGAACAAATATATAAATTCGCCGTAGCCAGATCCCGGTTGTGGTAGGAACACAAGGCCTGTTATATTTGCTTAGAAGCAGGGTCACATTTACACCCCAGATAACAAATCCAGTGTATTATTGATTGATTGATTGATTGGTTGATTGATCAACCAGATTCTTACCCCGCCTTTCTGCCCCCCATAAAGGGCCACCCGATTAAGATATACTGTATCGTACACACGTCAAAATATTATCTTAAAAGCTGTTAAAAACCAACCAACACTCAAATACCTCATTAAAACGAGTTTAAAACCAGCCCTTAAAAGAAGCTCACAAAATATTTTTTACAAAACAGCAGCTAAAACATTGGGGAGGCCCGTTACAAGCAGCCGCGCCATTTACTCCGCAGCCGCTCCGGTTTAAAAACCGCTCGCTTCAGAGCGACTCCGGAGCATAGAGCTCGCGCTCATTTGAACGGCCGTCGACTTAAGGGCAAGCAAGAAAGGTCTCTGCTCTCCCTCTCCCGAGTCGGCAGCGACGCTCCCCTGAGCCGGCAACTGCAAAGGGCTACAGCGCGAGCGGAGGGGGAGAAGAAGCGGAGTCAATTCGGTTCTACCGCCGCCCCCCTTTCCTCCCGCGGGCTGGAGAAGGCTGAATTCGGATCGGGCCTGCCTTGGCCGGGGCTTCTGCCCGCCCCTGCCGGTGGAGGAGGAGGAGGAGGAGGAGGAGGCGGGGAAAGACCAGGAGAGGAGAGCGCCTTCCCTCCTTCTCTCACATGACTGCGGGCGAAGGGAGAGGCATGGACGGGGAGCCGCCCGCGGGCACCGCCGTGGGCGCCACAGGTAAGGCGGGCGAGCGCTTGGGGAAGACCCCCGGGGTCGGTCGGCGGGGCCCTCCTCTTAGACCCGCCAGGGAAACGGGCTCAGCCTCGGGGCCTCTTCGTCCTGTGGGAGGAAGGCTGTGCGAGGGGAGCGCCTCGACGACGGCAGGGTTTGAACAAAAAAGTGTTGGCAATCTCCAGGCGGGGCCTGGAGATCTCCCGGAATCCAGACGGCTCTCCATACTTCAGAGATCAGTCCCTTTGGAGGGAATGGCAGCTTTGATGGCTGGACTCTGGGGCATTATCCCGCGATCATTATACCTCCCGCCTGTTCTCCCCAGGCTCGCTCCCCAAATCTCCAGAGATTTCCCAACCTAGAGTTGGGAACCCTAACAAATGCAAGGCTAGGTTCTCCCTCCCCCCCCCCGCCCCCCACAGGTATGCCATCCAAAAGCGGAGAGTATTTTGCATTCACTTAAAAAGTTGCTGTTATGGCTAATAATAATACTAATAATATTTCGTATGTGAGGGAAGGTTTACCAACCTCCAGGTGGGGCCTGGAGACCCCCCAGAATTAGAACTCATCTCCAGGTGACAGAAATCAGTTCCCCTGAAGAAAAGGGCGGGTTTAGAGGGTGGACTCTATGGCAATATACTCCACTGAGGTCCTGTCCATTCCCAAACCCCACACTCTCTCGGTTCCACCCCCAAAATCTCCAGGTATTTCTCAAACTAGAGCCCACGACTCTATCTTATAATATTTTAAGGGCAGGTTGTCTTTCGTTTGAGTAAATATAGGCATTAATAATAACAACAGGAATAATAATTTTGATATGCTGCCCTTACCCCACCAGACTCCCTCAGGTGGTGAACCTTTGTATAAAATGAGTATTTTTTGTGCCTGTGTGTTTGTGGGGCACCCAAAGGTAATCTGCATAGTTATAGTCTGTCTTTAGTCCCAGTGAGAAAGGCAAGACGGTACATGGAGAGCATTGTCCTTAAAAGACTGGATTTTAAAAATACAAATGTTACAGAGGAGGGCAGCCAACATGCTTTGGCGGTTGAAGCCCCTTCCCTATGAGGAGCATTTGAAGAGCCTGGGACTTCTCATTTTAGAAAAGAGACGACTAAAGGGGGGGGGCGTGATAGAGATAAAATTATACATGGGATGTTGACAAAGGGAACTTTTGCGCCTTCTCCCAAAGTACTAGAACCCGAGGGCATCCGATGAAGCTGATGGGCAATAGGTTCAGGGCGGACAAAAGGAAATACTGTTTTACATAGGGAGTGATTGAACTTTCTTAAAATTGAACTGTAGAGCACCATTTTAATTGATGTATTGGAATTTTAATGTAACATGCGTTTTATTCTCGGCGCTTGCCGCTTGTTTGCCGCCCTGAGCTTTACGGGTAGGGCGGGATATAAATCCCAGAATAAATAAATAAATAAAAATAAAATAAATGTGGAATTTGCTGCCAGAGGATGTAGCGATGGCCACAGGAATAAACAGCTTGAAGAGGGGATTAGATAGATTCATGGAGGATAAATCTACCAATGGCTACTAGCCATGGTGGCTGAGGGGAGCCGCCACATTCAAAAGAACTGATCCTCTGAATCTCGGAGCCAGGAGGCATCATTAGGGGAAGGCCTCCATGCCCTGCTGTTGGCCCTCCAGAGGAACTGGTTGGCCCCTGTGTGAGATGGGATGCTGGACTAGATGGACCACTGGCCTGTTCCAACAGGGCTTTTCTGATGTTCTTATTCTGTGATACATTTCTCGGATTTTTTTTTTGAGAAGCTATGAGTGGATCTTGGCTGTGCTGGCCTTTTCTCTAGGTTTGGGGGTGTACGTTGTGTGTGAGAAAGGACTCCTTCCTCCCAAATTGTATGCCAGATTTTGTGGATCGGAGCCCCCTTTGTTCAGGAAAGTTGTCCTGGCATAGATTTTGAAGTCCACCCCCCCCCCCGGCCCCCCCCCGGATTTTTAAATTTCCAAAGACTTCTATGAAAGACAAATTACAAACGGAGTAACAAAAACCAGTAAGAACGGAACATGGAACAATAAGAACAGTCTAATAACAAAGAGGGAGAGACTAGTTATGTTATAATAATACCCATAAGGAATAAACAACCTTTCTGAAGCCCTGTAACAACATACTATGAACAAGAATGGAAAGGGATCAGAAAATTCTTATCGTAAGAAGGAATTATTCAAGAAGGTGCATTTATAAAGGGGGAGGGCTGTAATATATTGTACCGTCTGTATACATATTGCTTTTTGCGGTGTTTTCTAATTTTGCTCATCTGGTTTTTGCATTGCTTAAGGTATGTTTTGACTTTTTTCTCTCTTATCCTGTTGTTTTCTCATTTTGTCACATGCCTTGAGGAACCTCAGTGAGAAAGGGCAGACTATAAATAAATACGTATTCCCTGCAGTGGGATTCCACAGGGGTACCTGGAGGCGCGTCTGAAAGCCAAGTTGAAAGGTTTGGGGTTTATCCCGTAGACGTCACGTGAATGAAAACAGGCTGGGAATCTTTGGCCGTAACCCTTCCCACAGCCTCTTTTCATACCCAGAAATATACCTGCCCCCGTTTTTCAAATTTCAGCATTAAATCTTGAGGATAAGATTCTATTTCCAGTCCCTGGTATCTTGGGGAGGGGCCATGGCTCTGTGGTAGAGCCTCTGCTTGGCATGCAGAAGGTCCCAGGTTCAATCCCTGGCATCCCCAGTTAAAAAGGACCAGGCAGGAGGTGATGGGAAAGACCTCTGCCTGAGACCCTGGAGAGCTGTCAAGAGAGGCCGTGGCTCAGTGGAAGAGCCTCTGCTGGGCATGCAGGAGGTCCCAGGTTCAATCCCCAGCATTTCCAGTTAAAAGGACCAGGCAGGAGGTGATGGGAAAGACCTCAGCTTGAGGCCCTGGAGAGCTGTAAAGAGGGGCTGTGGCTCAGTGGTAGAGCGTCTGCTTGGCGTGCAGAAGGTCCCAGGTTCAATCCCTGGCATCCCGAGTTAAAAAGGACCCGGCAGGAGGTGATGGGAAAGACCTCTGCCTGAGGCCCTGGAGAGCTGTAAAGAGGGGCTGTGGCTCAGTGGTAGAGCGTCTGCTTGGCATGCAGAAGGTCCCAGGTTCAATCCCCAGCATCTCGAGTTAAAAGGATCGGGCAGGAGGTGACATGAAGGACCTCTGCCTGAGACCCTGGAGACCCGCTGTCGGTCTGAGTAGTCAGTACAGACTGTGGTGGACCAAAGGTCTGATTCAATATAAGGCAGTTTCATGTGTTCAACCGGCTAGGATGATTTGGTGATCTGACTCCAGTTAGTGTGGACAGAACTGGTCTCAATGGACCACTGGTTGGATTCTATTGGAAACAGCTCCAAATGTGGAAAATGTCAACACCATTTGAGAGGGCCTCTTGATATGATAGAGGTTTCCCTGATCCAAGTTCTGTGTTGCTAGACATGTTCTCACGCATGAATAGTGTGTATTCTGGTCTTTACCTATGATCGTCAACTTACATTTTGTTAGAGATCTGTGTGTAAGAAGCTGTGTTGAGGCCCTTTATCCCGGGGAGCTGGTTAACCAGATGTTGACATGAACCATGTATATCCAGTTTGTTTTTGTGGTGGTGGAGATCGCACTGAGTTGTCCCACACTTGATATATTCAGGGAAATTTGATATCGCCAGATGGGTACCGTCCTTGGAATCTGGCTCCCAACGGTTTGGAATTGTTTTGGGGTCAAGGGAGAAATGCCTCTGAGTTCGTGGAGAACAATATAACTTTGCCTGCCTGCAATCAAAATAATGTTGTATAATGAATCAAACTTTACAAAGTTACAATGAAAAGTCCATCATACTCTCAATAACTTTACAAAATTGCAAGGAAAGTACATCATAATTACAAGGAAAATCCATCATACTCAATGAGCACCTGGATATAAACTCATTTCATCCCAATCTTCCTCAAGGTATCAGCAAGGTATCAGCCTCTTGATACAGTTCAGTGTCTGTTAGGAGCAAACCAATGCTTCACTTCTTTATTTTCTGCACTTTATCTTCTGGTTCCATTTTGAGTGTTAGTATTGGGAGCAAGCCAGTCTTGTTTCTTTAAGTAGGTGCACAAGCCTCCTGCGTTATGCTGGCTGAAATGCTTTCCATGAAAACACTGTAAAAATATTTATAAGAGTAGCACCAGCCCTCTTTTCTTCTTTTCTTCTGGCTAGAAGCCTTCAGTTTTAAATGTGGCTGGCAAAATGCTCTCTCATTATACAACATGATCTTTAGTAAATGTTCCAGTCACTCATGTCACAGTGTTTGTTGTCTGTTGTATTTTCCTCTTGGGTACCTGTGACTCCCCTCTTGGTTTTTTCAACTTCCAGCTGGGGGCTGGAGATCTCCCGGGGCTACAACTGCTGTCCAGATGACAGAAATGGTCCCTGGGAGAAAAGGACTGCATTGGAGGGTGGGCTCTAGGGCAGTATACTCTGCTGCGCCCCCCCCTCCAAACCCCGGCCTTCCCAGACTGCACTCTCCCAAACCTCCAGGTATTTCCCAAGCGGGAGTTGGCAACCCTAGTCAAACCTGCCTCATCTACTAGTGTTATCGATCAGCTGCAAGTCGACTGCTCGGTAGCTTTAAAAAGGAAGTGGAAACTGGCCTATATCTCCAACATCATCTTTACAGTTTATATAAGTGCTAATAGATCTCTTTGTAAAGTGGGGTTGGAAGCCGTCACGTTTCTCGTCACCTGTGGCGAAAAGAAGTTGCCTCCAGGTGACCAAGCAAGGAACCTTTCTTAATTTTTAAAAAAATTATTTAATTTTTGGCTTATATACCGCTCTGACCCCGAAGGGTCTCTGAGCGATTTACATACAACTTTATACCTAACTAGGGCCACATTTTTGTATGGGGCGGTAATGACCTACCAGCACCCAGGCAGCAGGCTCAGTTGTTGTTCAGTTCCTGGCTCAGTTGTTGTATTAGTTCCTGGCGGGCTCTTCGGTGCTTCACCTCCTGGCACCCGGAACAGATCTTAATCCGCGGCTCCTTCCGGTGGGCTTCATCCGGTGTTCAGCAACGCGCCAGCCGCAGCTCCGGCTCCGTCCCGCGTCTCCACGCCACCGCGCACCATGACTCCGCCTCTGTCCAGCCTCTGCCACGCACGCACGCTGGGTCGCCAGGGTCATTCCGCCGTCGCCGTCACCACCGTCACCGCTCCTGCTGCACGTCCTCATAAGGGCGTGGTATCCATTTTATCTACTTGCATTTTACACGCTTTCGAACTGCTGGGTGGACGGGAGCTGGGACTAGGGCCGGGAGCTCACCCCGGCCATGGTGGGTCTCGAACAGCCGTAATGGCTGTTCACTGTTGTTATAGCAGGCATTTAACTGCATAAATTAGTGAACTCTGTAGCCATCCTCCCTGAGCTAAGACAAAAATGTGTGAGCCGGAGGGTAAAAAAGTGTGAGCTAGCTCACACTAACTCAGCTTAGAGGAAACACTGGTTGCTGGTATGTCCTGTTAGACTGTGGTATGCCATGAAGAGCTAACCCAACGCCCCGACGCAATGTGGAAAGTCCCACTGAGTTATAAGTGCCCAGTAATTACATATGGGATTGTAGCTTTAGGTATTTGTGGACTAGTAACTTGTGTGACCTTGTTCATATAGCCATTTGTACAAAGCGATGTGGTTCCATTTGGGGATTTTTGTCCAACTGATCACAAAGAAAGGCGTGAGGGCCTCTTGGTTATGTTCTCAGATAAGTCTACAGAAGTGTAACCCCATAGGCAAGAAGCTGCCTTCTACTAAATCAGTCCATCACAGTCTGCTCAGCGGCTCTCCAGGGTCTCAGGCAGAGGTCTTTCACAACACCTACCACCTGACCTGACCCTTTTAGCACGAGATGCCGGTGATTGAACCTGGGACCTCCTGCATGACAACACAGAGGTTTTCCCACTGAAGAGAGACAATAGAAAGGACCAGTTTCTTTTGTTTACCAAAAAAATATATTGCTGATCTTTATTGAGCCGCAGTCAGCCAGGCTTGGAGCAGAGCATTAAACCCAAATCAACATATGTCAGTCCTTATGCTTCACTCTGCCCCTCTCCAAAAAAGCTGAACGTCTTCCTCCCCCCACACACTTTGGGCTTGCACTTTGCCTCTAACCTTGTCTCGAGAGCCAAACACGCCGCTGATAAACCCAGTCATGCATCTTCGCTTCAGTGGCAAATCTTTAACCACCTTAGATAGCAGAGCGGAGGGGGAAACGCAGAGGTGGATTATGCATGGAGTCTAGTTTTAAATTATTTTTAAAGTGGGGGGGGAAGCTCTACTCTTGAGTACATGGCCTGTGTGCAGAATAACTCCGAAAGCTTTCTGTTTAGATACTTTTAATCCCGGGTTCTCGAACCTTCGCATTTCTAAGTGTCCAGGGCTTTGATCCTATATCATGCATGGGGGCCACCCTTGTTGCCATGTCTGGGAGACCCTGTAGGACCAGAGTCTAGGCTTGCCAAGTCCCCCTGGGGGGCAGGGAAACCCCTGACCCAGAGGCCCGTTCCCCGCCACCGGCGGATTGGGCCCCGGGGGGAACCCCACCCTGACGCGCACGTCACCCAGAAGTGACGCGACCACGCCGGGCACGCTGGGGGCAGGGCCACGGTCATCCGAGGGAAAACTCTATGGTTTTCCCTCGGATGGTCGTGGCCCCGCCCCCAGCGTGCCCGGCATCGTCACGTCACTTCTGGGTGACATGCACTTCTGGGTGACATGCATGGGTGACATGCTGCCAGCCGGGAGTCCCCCGCTGCAGCTCAAAAAGCACTTGGCAACCCTACCGGGGTCCCCGACGTGATGCCCGTGGAAAGTAGATCTAGCTTTTGCCCAGCACTGCTTCTGATTGGCCGCTGGAGATCTAACCAGCTGTGCAGATTTTAACAGCGTTGTTTTGGCAGCTGCTGCCACTGTAGTACAAGGGTCTTCAGTGTGTGACTGAGGTAAACTGCAGCAGCCATTTTGTGGCTGCCAACACCTCCTGTGGCAGCCATTTTGTGGCTGTGCCCAACATGCTGTGCCAGACTTCCAGAGGTGCCCGTGGGCTCAAAAAGATTGGGGACCCCCACAGTAGGGTCTTGTTGAGCCTTCTGCTTTGGCTTGGATTATTGCAACCGTGGAATGACCTTCTTTCAGGCTGGCTTGGCAGTGCCATCCTACATAGAGCTCACTGAATCCGCCAGGCCCAGAAGGCTTTAACTCTGCTTAGGATACCCATGTGTTCTTATGATCTCATGCTCTCGATTATTGAAAAAAGAAATTAAAGGAAATGGAGGATAGGCTTAAAGGGTCTTTAAGCCCTGAAGTGTTTGAGAGTAAGCTTAAAGAATTGGAGGAGGATTTAAAAGCCTATGGGAATAGGACAAGAGAGACCAAACTCAAGAAGTTTGAAAGACAACAGGGACTATGCACTGAATAGAGTGTACAAGTGGTATTCCCCCAGTGCAAATCCCGTGAAACAGGTGTCTTGGGCGGATTCTAGAGACCCGGTCTCAGAAATGGAGACTACAGAGGCAGAAGACTCTGCGACAACTTCTGGGGAGGAAGGGTCTGTGGGGAGACCTTTTTTAGACAGACGTACAAAGAACAGGGCAAGAGAGAATCTTTCATACAACCAATCCAAACGGGGCAAGAAGAGAGTTTAGTGGTTAATTTGTCCACCATGAGGTTAACTAGGGAAGTAACAGTTGTGTTGAATTTTGGACCAGGATTTGTGTTTACCCCTAAGCAGGGCTTTTTTTGCAGAAAAAGCCCAGCAGGAACTCATTAGCATAATAGGCCACACCCAACAGCAGAAACTCATTAGCATATTAGGCCACACCCCAACAGCACAGCTCATTCGCCTATTAGGCCACACTCCATGCCTTCCCTTGGTTTGCCTGGGCAAGCCCCCCCCCCCCTCGAAGGGAAGGCAGTTTAAATTGCCTTCCTTTGGCTTGCCTGCCCAATCCTTCCAGGGGGGCCCTGGCCCCCTCACCTCAGAGTCGCCGGGGTGTGTGTGTCGCTCTCCAGGCCTTCCCCTCTGTAGCCAGGCATGCAGCGGTTTTGGCTGTAGTGGGCGTGGCAAACTCTGAAGCCAGCCGGAACTCCGTTCCTGTGCGTTCCTGCCCAAAAATAGCCCTGCCCCTAAGTATAATGCATTCCAAATGAGGATAGATGTATTTAAGCTGATAAGGACTCTAAAATTAATATTTTTTTGAGGAATCAAATTTTGTAGACATCAACCCCTTTAGAAATAAGTCTCAGTTCATTCCACCAGTTTACCATCCTTCTATTATTGTGTTCGAGGGACGGGTGATGGAGGATATAAGCCATTTAGAACAGCACCATTCCCCCCTTAGATATAATTTGACGAAAGTACAAATGGATATTTTGAAGGGATCATTATAAAAAATGCTGATAAGGGGGGAGCCTTGGTAGTACAGGATCTTAAGGATTATACTTATGAAGTAATTAGACAACTAGGAGATAAGGAGTTTTATAAACAGATTATAATCCTACGGAAGAAGTTCTAAATATTATTAAGGTTACAGTAAGGGAAGCATTAGCCTTCGATTACATTTCGGCACAAACAGCTGAGTTTCTCATTAATCTGCATTCCAGGGTGCCTATCTTTTACACCTTACCAAAAATACATAAGCAGGAATCACCACCACCCGGTCGACC